TCAGTTGTCGAGCGCAAACATCAACACATTTTAAATGTGGCACGTGCTTTACTATTCAGTCCCATGTCCCTATTGTCTATTGGGGCGATTGCGTCTTGACTGCTGTTTACCTGATCAACCGTACACCTTCCCCCTTGTTATCTAACAAAACTTCATTGGAACTATTAACTCACAAAAAACCATCTTATGATCATTTACGTACCTTTGGTTGTCTATGCTATTGCTCCATTTTCGATAGTCATTGCCATAAATTTTCACCTCGTTTTAGAGCTTGTGTCTTCCTCGGTTACCCTTCAGGTTACAAAGGATATAAACTTCTCGACATCGAGAGCAATCAAATCATCATCTCTCGAAATGTCATTTTTCATGAACATATATTTCCATTTCTTTCATCCCACTCACCTAGTCCCATTCACAATGGCCTTTTTCATGATCGTATTTTACCTCTTCCTCTCCATACGCCTACACACTCACTAGTTTCTGTTGATTCACCTACCCACTCACAGCATGACTCGTCCCAAACCCCACCACCTCGACCTCTGCGTGTCACACGACCACCTTCTTATTGGTCTGACTATCATTACTATCATACAGATACACATGCACTTTACCCCATTTCCTCATTCCTTACTTATACAAAGCTTACACCTCAATATCACAACTTTATTTTTGCCATTTCCTCCCACACTGAGCCTACCACCTTTTCTGAGGCTGTCCAATTTGATGTTTGGAGGACCGCTATGAATATGGAGCTATGTACTTTGGAGAACAATAATACTTGGTCTGTTGTTTCTCTTCCACCTTGGAAGAAATCTGTTGATTGTAAGTGGATTTATAAAGTTAAATATCAAGCCGATGGGACCGTAGAGAGACACAAAGCCCGTCTGGTTGCTAAGGGCTACACACAATAATTTGGTATTGATTTCATTGACACTTTCTCTCCAATTGCAAAATTGGTTACTGTAAAAATTTTGCTTTCACTGGCTATTATTCATGGTTGGAGTCTAACTCAGTTAGACGTCACCAATGCTTTCCTTCATGGAGACTTTCATGAAGAAGTTTATATGAATATTCCTCCAGGATATTCTCCTCGAGAGGGGGAGATTTTTCCACATCAACCTGTTTGCCGGCTACACAAGTCAATCTATGGGTTGAGACAGGCTTCCTGACAGTGGTTTCACAATTTCTCACAAGTATTACTTCAAGAAGGTTTCCATAAGTCACAATGTGACCACTCCTTGTTTGTCAAGCATCAGGGTAATGTTTTCTAATATTGTTGGTATATGTTGATGATATTGTTATTGCTGGTAATAATAATCATGCCGTCGAAGAACTCAAAGTTGCACTCAAACAAAAATATAAGATGAAAGATTTGGGAACTCTCCGATATTTTCTTGAACTTGAAATTGCAAGAAATGACACAGGAATCACTTTATGTCAAAGAAAATATGCTTTGGATCTGTTAACTGAAACTGGGTACCTTGGTTGTAAGCCCTCATCTACTCCCATGGAACCCAATCTTAAGATATCCAAAGATGATGGAGAACCTCTGTGTGATATCACAAGTTATCGGCGACTGATTGAAAAATTGTTGTACTTGACAGTCACTCGTCCTTATATATGTTATTCTGTCAATAGACTGAGTCAATTCTTAGCTGCTCCGAGGACCAGTCACCTTCAAGCTGCTTTGCGGATTCTTCAGTACATCAAGAGAACACCTGGACAGGGTCTCTTCTTTCCTTCATCATCTACCATTCAAATTAAGGCTTTTTCTGATGCTGATTGGGGCACATGTCCTGACACTAGAAGATCTCTGACTGGTTATTGTGTTTTTCTTGGATCTTCATTAGTCTCATGGAAATCAAAGAAACAGCAAGTTGTATCTCAGTCATCTGCAGAAGCCGAGTATCGTTCCATGGCCAATACTACATGTGAAATAGTATGGATTCTGAATTTGTTACGAGATTTAAAGGTGCAACATCAAGGTCCTACATTGCTTTACTGTGATAATCAGGCAGCTCTACACATTACTTCGAATCCAGTGTATCATGAGAGAACAAAACATATTAAACTTGACTATAATTTTGTTCGAAAAAAAATTCAAGATGGTACCTTGAAGACAATGCATATATCCACTCGCAATCAACTTGCAGATTTAATAACAAAACTTCTTCATCCTACGCAGTTCGACAATTTATTGAACAAGATGGGTACAATAAATTTGTACTCTCCATTTTGAGGGGGAATATTAAGATTAATTATTGATTAGATGAAATTAATTTGTTAATTATAGCTTTTTTGATTAATTAGTTATTGTAACCGTTTTTATCTTTTTTTCTTTGTCATTGTACAAGCTGTATATAGCCTTTTGTTGTCCATGAATACAATCAGAAAAATCGGAGTAATTTTTCTCCATCATTCTTTTTCTTCTCCTCCGATTCCTAACATTTTATAAATAAATATATTATTCTCTTAAAACTATATCATCCTCTTGTTTATCCTCTAAAAATAATCATATTTTACAGGTAATTTTATATTATTTTGATGACTACGAGAATACTGTTTTTCAGCCTTTAATATTTGGATTCATCCATGTATTTTTACAATTAATCACATCACTATATATGTGTATATATATATATACGTGTATATATATATATGTATGTGGATACATTCCTCAATATGTTTCCGCGTACATGATGATGATGTGGGAATCATAAACATCTCAAATATATACACACACACATATACTTACACATATATGCATATACATTTTATTTTCCTTGTGCCGACCACTCCTTCCTATTTCTTTTTTGTTATATCATTTT